GATACAAACCCGAACCGATACAGACCCGAACCGATATAAACCCGAACCGAAACCGAAAACCGGTCAAACCAAAATAAACCCGAAACCGAACTGACCCGACCCGAACCGATTATAACATATATCCGAAAGAGACCCGAACCGAAAAGACCCGACCCGGACCCGAACCGATTGACCCGATTGCCAGGTCTAGTTGTAAGGCCAGCAAATGAAATACTCCATATAACTTTCCTTTTTCGCGCATGTATTCCGTATTAGCTCACTGACCATTATGCCCCCAATAATTGATTGCTTCCTAATTTTTAGGAGTCTAGTAGTTACTTTACAAAATTAAATTCATTGATGTATTAAATGCATTGTTGAATCTTGGCCATCCGATGCACCCAATCCAACGAATGTATATATATATTGCATTGTCACCTCTTTGCATCTTTTTTTTGGAACAGAGTCTGCATTGCCACCTCTTTATTATCTCTCTCTCTAAGCTCTTTACCCATCCACCCCTTTATTGCTGGAAATAGTTTTGGCACGGTATTAGTGAAAATAGTGACACGATCAACGTAAAAAACCTTCATGGATATCAATTTGTTACATTCACAGAAAAGCAACATATTATAGTATTAATGCACAGGCTTACAACTTACCAGCAACAAAACGAATGACCCAGAAAAATACTTCCCAAGACTCTTCTCCCACTTCATCTTGTTGTCGATCAACTTTTCTAGCAAATAGTGTGACCAATTTAACCTTTTCACTCTGCCCACATCTCTCAAGTGGTCAAGGACCAAACTGTTAACATAACCATGTGACGTACCATCAACCAAAAGCGACATCACTAACAACACAAAATGTGTAACAAACCATTCACCTCCCTCCTTACATTCAAGCATCTCATCAGCCAACTCCGTTGGGGTTATTCTGTTATTACACTTCCCAAACTTCATCCTCCACTCTTTCAATAAACCAGTGTCCCTGTTGCTCTTGTTATTCTCAATCTTGACCCCACCATACGGCAAACCAAGTACAGAATGCACATCAGAGGCTGTCATGTGCAACTTCGTACCATCCGGCAGCACCAAACTACTCCTCCGAGCATCAAAATTCTTCACGAGCCAGTAACCTAATCTTCCAGGCAGTTTTAGAATATTTATTCCCAAGATTGAACCAAATCCAATTCTCTCTACCTCTTCCTCCTGCAAATCGTTCAGCTGCTTCATAGTTTTAGTAATCAGGTGTGGCAATGACCTTGACTTCAACCTAGGATATGGAGCCTTGATATCTGCCAATTTGACTCTCCTTTTCCTCTCTCCTGCACTTTTAATAGGCATGTGGCAGACTTCAATAGCATTGCTATGTTCACTTCCTGTGTCCCCCTTTGTATCAGCTTCATCATCCTCATCTGCATCATTATCAGTCTCACCACCATCATCAGATGCTACAGGTGCATCATTATCAGTCTCAAGAGCATCATTAGATCCTTCTTCATCCTTAGAAGCTCCATCCTCATCTCCCTCATCTTCAACATCCATTCCATTATTGCCATCTTCACTTTCCTGATCATCCAAGGAGCTGTCACTATCATCATCAATCTCCATGCGCACAGGCTTATTGATTCTTTCAATCCTCCATCTCACGTTTCTCAACCGATCACTACGGCAAATTGGTGTTGCAAACGACATTGATCTTGAACCCTTACCGACCTTCACTGCCCTTCCAGCGTTCCCAGCAGGCAGAGTCCTTCATCATACAAAAAAAACACTCAAACATAAAAAAAAGGGAATTATCACAGTGCAATGTATTTCAAATTCATTAAAAACACATTTACTCATTAATGTATCAGTGAGGGTGCAGACATGATCCACCCTAATGAAAAACATAACACACAGTGGATGCATTAAAACGCACAAAACTGTAGCACAACCGTAGCATTTTATAGCATCACACCATCATTTACAGATTCATGGTCTGCAAAATTATCACAAATGATCTGCACTCCATAACAACCACTCTCACTGTTAGAATAGATGTCAACATGTTCATTACCTGGTGCCTCGCCAACACCTTGACCTAGAAATGACACACGAATACCATTCAAACAATATTGTGTATTTTGACATTCAAAGAAATACCAATGCAACTAATTCAAATTTATTTCAACACAACAAGAATATAAAACATCATTTTTACTCTAAAAATATGCATTTTTTACAAGTTGCAACTTAAAGTCACAGATTTTTTAAAAAATACAAACATACCACATTACAAAAAATAAATCCTAATTCTCTAAATACCTTATTCCATTTATGCAAACAAAATCACCAACTAATGCAAACCAAGAGTATAGAAATGCATCAATATAATAGAACCACTTACCATCACAAGTTAGTGCTCCTACATAACTAACCAAATGCATCAAATTTCTCACACTCTCTCTTAGAACCCAGAATCTGAACATGCACTTTTTAAAATATGCATTCAACTTGGTCTACTTATGCAAAACAATTAGGAAGAAATGCACGAATACAAAACACCCAAAACACTCTGTTCATGTAAAGAAATCTCAAAGCACTACAGGGCCACAGTATAAACCAACCAGCAACCCTAATTTCTCAGCTTCGTACTACCATCAATTCTTATTCTACAGAGTGCAACACAAACAGTGGGAGAATGATACATGCAAGTAAGATCAATTAACCTAGTAGGCGAAGGAGTAGAAGGAATAAAACCAATTTCCAAATGCACCAGAAATTTATGGACATGCAATTGCATCTCCTCACTACCGAAGCATCTCACATCTACAATTCATAGCCAACGATGCAACCAGCGCACACAATTGCTTGTAACGCCAAAAAAACCATTTAAACCCCCAAATTCCCCATAAAAAACGCAAAACGAGGTATTACAGTACCTTTCCGAGCAGTTGCATTCTTCGTATGCAAGGTATGCATCGTCGTTGCTCGCCATCGCCACCACTTGCTACTCCAACGTGCTCAAAATTGGGATGCAAAGCTCGAGAATGAGTTCTGTAAGGACTTTGCAGCTTCAAAATTGGTAAGAGAGAAGAAATATTTTAATTTTGGTAAGCAGGAATGGCGGCTTCGTAATAGGCGCACGTCCATTAAAGCATAAGGGAATGACGGGAATGACCCTCCAATGGAACGCACCTCAAAAAATGCACCCTAATAATTACCGACCTTATTTAGATGTAAATTACGGCCCACTAATTGTAAAAAGGACAACCGCAAGATCTAGTGCATCTAACGGATGAAATTCATTCTCATTTCTCTCCACAAGAGTCATTCTCACAGGAACCGCACTATATATATATATATATATATATATATATATATATATATATATATATATATATATATATATATACACACACACATACATACATATATACATTTGGTTCATATGAGAATGCGATCTTATGAAAGAAATAAGAATGAATCCGGTGCTTTAGATTGTGAGATCTAAGGGTCAAGATTGCATCAAAATTAGGTGCACTAAAATGGTTTGAAAATGCATCATGTTGTAATGCACCAAAATCCCTTGAAAATGCACTATCTCAAAATCTGAGTGCAGGATGCAATCTGAGCCGCATGATGCATCCGATGCAAAGGCTAGATTTTATTCTTATTTCTTTTATCAAGGTGCATTCTCACCTGAACCGGCCCCTATATATATATATATATATATATATATATATATATATATATATATATATATATATATATATATATATATATATATATATATATATATATATATATATATATATATATATATATATATATATATATATATATATATATATATATATATATATATATACGGAGTATATAAATATAATTTTTAAAATATGCTTAAACCATCGATTTGACCACTTGAACCACTGGTTCGACCTGTGAATCAGTACCGTAGCCGGTTTGGTCACCGGTCCGATTATGAAAACTATGTTTATACCACATCCATCTCAAAGTTTATGTTGAATTTACCTTTTCACGTTAAACTGGACAAATCCTGATCGTTAATTAAATAAAATAATATTGAATATTAGTACAAAACTGCTTTATTAGATTTATTTGACAAAAAATATTAAATTCTTTTTTCATTACTCCGTATTTAACATGCAATGGGAATTTAATATAATTGATGATTAAGATTCATCCATTTTGACTTTTAACTCAAAAAAGTCTAACAAATAATATGGGACAAAGAGAGTATAAGCTAAGTTACATTATAAATTAATGTATAAGCTTATTTATTAAGTGATTTGAATCTATGAGATAAGTAGAGTATTAGTTTACTTTTGAGTACTGCATTAGTTTACGGTAATAAAAGCAACAATTGTAAAATGTTTTCAAATCCTTCTTTCTTGTGAGTTCCACAATTCCACCCTCATTTGCCCTAGACTCCTAATCTTATACAGAGTAAAATAAACATGTTCTTTCTATTACAATGCCTACTTCCTAGTTTTGTTATTCGATACGCCCACAGATTGAAAAACTTCTATATAAAAGAAAAATCTACTTCATGAAAAACCTCCAACAAATCCTTTCCCTTTAGTCATCACCTCATCAAGAAGTATGTACTCTTAGTAAGCAATAGGCACTATCTGTTGCAGACAGATGACCCAACATGTGCTTTCGATCTTGAATTATTGGCTCATATTAATGCACCATAGGGGATAAAATTGATTATATTAAGAAGCAATACCATTAAGCTGTCCATTTGATTGCAAGCCATTACTGCCATAGTATTGATTAGTAGTTGCCCGAGAGAAATCGGCAAATGTCATCCCATCTCGTAGCCTAGATGAAAGTGATGGAACGATACTACGGATCATTTGACTTAGTTTATCCGATTCCTTCTCCCCTTTGGGCAAGTCCTTGGTACAAAGCCTGCTCCTTTGATCATTTAAGTGTAAGTGCTCAAGAGGATAATGCGATAGAGAGAATGTTTTGTTCCATGCAGGCTGCAAGAAAACTACAAATGTTTCCCTGCTCAAGTTATTAGGTTTCAAAGGTCTGCATACGCGGTGAAGTGTTGCTCGGAGCTTCCCCATGGACAGTAAATCAGCCGCTTCCCCAACCTGCACAATCAAACTCTCAGGAGGTGCCTTCACCATGAATGTCTGATCTTTATTGGGATGAAAAATTTGCAAATACGTGTGTCCACTCGGGGAAGGGGTTTCTTGATCACAAGGCACACACGAATCCTCACTTTCTTCAGTTACCCCTTTACAGTTAGATGACAACAAAAACATTGGCACGGTCAATATAGTGAATACACCGTAGTCATGATGCCACTGCTGCCAAGGGGTAGAGTCACTCAGCTCCTCATCACAAGTCTCACTTCGAAACTGTTTATAATCTGTTTTCTCGTTCCTTTTTATTTGATTCTTAGTTTTAGATCCCTTCTTCACTCTTCTGTTAGCAGCTTCTTTAATGATTTCAGTGTCAATTGTTGAATGATAATGGATAAGCCGTCCCTTCGCTGTGCCCGATTCCAATAAGCTCTGCTGGAGCTCGTGTCCTCCAATGAGTTTATCACAGATTTGTGCAAGACGAAGCCCTACTTCCATCATGCAGTACCCTAGGCCATTGAAGAGATCTCCTAAATTCTTGAAAAACACACAATCAGCCTCAAAAGATTCATCTCCTCTAACTACTCCAAGCTGATTTCTTTCGCAGGAAGAACTACTCTCAAACCTTTTGTCATACTCCAGATTCTTCGCAAATGATGACACAACCCTCTCTAAATTTTTTAATGGAACATCACTTCCCAAATCATGTTCCTGTAAATTGTGCTTCTCTTAACTACTCCACACATTTCGCAATTCATCTACAGAGCTCTTAAGCGATACTGGGGAAATTGTTGAAAAAAAGATTTACCTTGAGAAGCTTTTTACGATCTTCATTGTTGAGAAGTGCGAGCTTGCGGGACAAAGGAAGTAAATTTCGACGGAAAGTTGCAGCTCCGGGGACTCCGGTGACGGCAAGCAGGCCCGGCCCGTTTGGACCTAGGGTTTCCATCACCATTCGGCCTACATATTCCATTCGTTGAGATTCATCGGCCGATTCAACGACCTCGTTGGCAGTGAATAGTAAGAGATCCGAGTAGGTTAGCTCGTAAAGCTCCGTCGCATCACCGGCCATTTTCGTGCTAGCACCGCTAGACCATTCTCGTACAGCTGGTTATGTCTAATACTCACTAAGTGCATATTGTCTCATATCTAATATGAATATATTTATATTTAAAATTGTTTTTTATCATATCACATTTAATAAAATAATAATAAGTAATAAGAATATATTGAAGAAAACATGATTCAAGCATGGTCATTTTTTTCTAGTGGATGATTTTTGGAGATATAATACAATATTAGTTTTGAAACATGAGAGAAATGATATAAGTTTTGAAATCTGAAATAAAATTATTTCAAAATATTTAAAATCATGATTTAATTAGTGACATGTGAGGGTAGCAGACGATGGGATGGTTGGTGGTGACAATCGTAGCCGGTGACGAATAATAGTCAATTATTAAGGGAAATATCGGAATATTCCAAAATATCAAATTCAATATCTCTTGGGGTCTCAACAAATACCAAAAAAGAGTTATGATATTTGGAGATGACGGTTCACCCAGCGTTTGACATCTTTGACCGTAAACGGCGGATTGGACTAGTCAAATTGCCAAATTAATTGTTTGGATAATGGCTTTGGAATTGGCATTTAGAACCGAACAGCCAAAAATTGAAATGTCAACCCTAGCAATATTTCATTTAGCAGTTCACCCCATTTTCCGTTTCTTACCCTTTTTCGGTGCTGCGTCTCTCTGCGATCCTCCCGACACCGAAAGTTTTCCTGACTTTCTCCATACAATTTCCGAACTAGTCGAGAGCTTGTCTGAATTTTTGTCACTTCTAATGCTCATGTCATCTCAAAAGATGTTTGATACAACCTCCGTCTCATTGTCTTTGTCCATATTTGACTTTTGGAACTGTTCATCTAAGCACTTTGACTCATCAAATTCTCTTAATGTGTAAGCCTAAAAATAGTTATGTGTGATCTTGTTTGATTCGTCTTAACATATAGATTATTAATATATAATTTGTATAATTTTTTAATATACAAATTACAAGATAAAATGGATTAAAGAAGTGCATTGGATAGTGTGCCAAAAGGTAAGTGGACAAATACTCTGGGACGGAGGGAGTACTTTAGATTGTGATGCTTGTCTCGAGTAATTTATTTAATTTTTTAATTTAAAATTGGTGTAAAGTATTTTTATATATTTATGATATCATATTTAAAAAATTATAAAATAAAATATATCATGCATGGTTGTTATTTGTAGAATGATAAATGGGAAAAATACAAAAAAATCAACTTATCAAATAAAAATGTAAATTCTCATTTCTTAAATTAAAAAAAACGAAGTAGACTTTTTTGTCCAACAAAAAAAATGTAAAGCATTTTCTTATATAATGTGTGTATTTTATCAAATTAAAAAAATTTAAAATCATACACAAATTAACATAAATGGAGGAATGTTCTTATATGTAATTTTATTCACAAACAGCTAACTATAAACAGCTAAAGTTGCCAGACCAAACATCTAATTTTTAACATCTAATAGAAATAGCCGGTCAAAATAGCTAACTCAATCAGCCATTCAAACCAGCCAACATAAATAGCCAACAGCCAACTGCCAACTGTCATGTTCCAAAAAGGCCTTTGACAATTAGTCTCTACATTTATATAGATATATTTTATAAAAACTCAATACTCTAAAAATATAATTTAAAAGAAAATTATTGATATTACATTATATCTAAAAATAAGAGTAAGTTATATAAAAGGTCTCCAGTTATAATTCGTTTTACATATTTAGTCCCTACATATCAAATATCAAAAAATTAGTCCCCAATTATTATATTGTTTTCCACGAATGATCCTTTATTAACATTTTCGTTAAAAACGTGGATAAAATTGTAAATTTACACTCCTCTCTCCTCAATTAATCTTACCCCCTCCCCTCACACTCATTTCACAAACCCGTCACTGAATTTGAAGCTTTGAACCAAAATTGAAATCATCACTCATCTCTTAATTGTTCGTCTTTCTGGTGGAACCCAAAATTGAAACCAGTGTCCTTCATGGATGAGTTTTAAGATTTATTTTCTTTGCAATTTCTTGAGACTAACTCATAAAAGTCATCCATGAAGGTTATTGGTTTCGATTTTGGGTTACATCAGGAAGATAAATAATTGAGAGAGGGGTGATCGTTTTGGTTTTGGGTTTAGAGCTCCAAACTCAGGGACGGATTTGGGAAGGAGGGTGGAAGCTTAATTGAGGATGAAGAGAGGTGTGAATATACAATTTTATTCATGTTTTTAAAATGACCTATAGTTGGGGACCTTTTATGAAATTTCAGATTAAAGTTTACAAACTTTGACAAAGAATAATAAAATCGGAATATTATTTTTAGACAAAAAAAGTACTCCCTCCGTCCAGAAATATTCTTCCCATTTGACTTTTCTTGGTCAAAGTTTGTAAACTTTGACTATGATATGTGGAAAAAATACATTGTATTACGATATAAATTTAATATAAATATATTCATTTTGAAATATAGTTTTTCAAATATCAAATTTTTATAAAATATATATTCATGTATAAATAAAGATATTAGTGGTCAAAGTGCAATCTTGGAGACCGTAAAAAGTCAAATAGGTAAAACATTTCCAGACGGAGGGAGTACAAAAAATGGTTACACGTATTGGGTCTTGTGAAAAAAAGATATAAGTATACTAGGTGTACGGTGTACCTGAATGATTATACCCAAAACATATTCCAAATATTTACACCTACACTTCTATGACTTATGTTGATACAAAATGTTAACACGATCTTAAAATTTTACACATTTTGTGTCAATGTACTCAATCAATCTCTTGCTTAAATTGACATAAAATGGAAGTGTAAACTTGGGTATATCTTTGGAGTATTAAGTGGATTTTAATAAAAAAGATACTCCTTATTCGAATATCAATGGCGTGGATTTCTTATCTCATTAACCTCTCCATCTGGCCCCTCCCGTTAACCTCAGACTTGCCCAATCCCACTGGCCTCCTGCGCATCCTCCTCCATCGCACACTATCCTCCTACGTGGCTGACCTCCAACTCAGGTTCTTTTCCCTCCGGCTCGGCGTCATCCTCCTCCGACGCGGAGACCTCCTGCGCAGCCTCTCCTCCGGCTGGACGTCATCCGAACTTCAGGCGTGTAATCATCAAGTGAGTTTCAAATGCTAGAATTTAATATTATATTTAAGTGTTGGTCGGTTGAAGAACATTAGAAATCAATTTTGGGCCTTAGTGTTGATGAGTTTTAAATCAATTTTTGATGTTCGTGTTGATCAGTTTGTTCATCAATTTTGGATTGTAGTTGAGGACTTGAGGTTTTTTAGTTTCATACACTTGAAATTCTAAATACATTGCTACCGATTTAGTTGGAATGGTGTTGGCAGGGTCTGTTTAATGAGATCCAATGCTGAATAATATGGCTATAGAAATCTATGGCTCCAAAATATGAATAGAAATCCGTTTGGTCTAAGAGGAGAGGACATGGGAATTGATCTCTAACTAGTGGAATCTCCAGTTTCTGTGAATGGCTCCTCCTGAAAAATCCGAAAAAGATGGAAAGAAATTGAAGATAAGAAAGATAAAGAACGGCAAGATAATAAGCTCAGTCCATGTGGACAACAAAGCTGTTGATTCGGAGTGGTGGGATACTTTCTGGCTCAAGAACTCTTCATCCCCAGGTTTTCTTCATTTCCTCCAATCCCTTTAATTTCATCTTAGAATGTGTCTTCTTGCCATCTTTAAAGAGAAATGAATGAGGTATTTTTGCTTCTTGGATGATTTACTGCTATTTTTGCTTTGAAGAATTTGCCTTCAGGGATTGACATTTTTCTTTGAAAAAAGCATACTGTAGTTCTTCTTTAGGGTTTAGAGAAGTGTCGTGTTGTGTGTGTAGTTTCTTAGGTTTTTACAGTTCTTTTTTTTCCTTTATGAGTTGTGAAGCTCAATGCTAGCTATGCAATAGCTTTCTTTCTATGCTAAAAGAAGATTTCTTCTTACCTGAAAGAGGCTATGCTATGAATAATAATTATGAAATCCTATTTGATTGATTGAACTATTGAAGACCTATAATATTCTCATGCGTGGATATCCCAATGAATTCCATTAAAATTGGAGTTTCAATTGCATTTTATCATTAAGTTAGCTTTTTCCTCCAAAATGAGGTGTTAAATCCACTGTTTTTACCAACCATTCATTTGTAGGTCTAAACATACAGTCAGATGAGGAAGAAGGATTCAAATATTTCTTTCGTGTTTCGAAAAAGACTTTCGATTACATATGCTCACTTGTAAGAGAGGATCTAATCTCGAGGCCTCCTTCAGGCCTGATTAATATGGAAGGAAGGCTCCTTAGTGTTGAGAAGCAGGTAGCAATAGCCTTAAGAAGATTGGCATCTGGCGAATCACAGGTTTCAGTCGGTGCCTCATTTGGAGTGGGGCAGTCGACTGTTTCTCAGGTGACCTGGAGGTTCATTGAGGCGCTGGAAGAGCGTGCCAAGCACCACCTTAAGTGGCCCCACCCTAATAAGGTGGAGAAAATAAAGTCAGAATTCCAAAGATCCTTTGGAATGCCTAATTGTTGTGGTGCAATCGATACAACCCACATTGTGATGACCCTTCCTGCCGTTCAAACTTCAGATGATTGGTGTGATCAAGAGAACAATTACAGCATGCTCCTGCAAGGGATTGTAGACGATGAAATGAGATTTCTAGATATTGTGACTGGATGGCCAGGGGGAATGTCTACTTCCAGACTGTTGAAGTTTTCTGGGTTTTATAAAATGTGCCAATCTGGAGACCGTTTAAATGGAAGTGCCAAGATAAGAAATGAAGGACTAGAGATTAGGGAGTACATAGTTGGTGACTTTGGTTATCCTCTCCTTCCATGGCTCATTACTCCTTATGAAGGTGACAATCTCTCGCCTAGGATGATGGATTTCAACGTGGCACATGAGACTGCAAGATCACTTGCAGCTAGGGCATTCTCGCAATTGAAGGGCGGGTGGAGAATCCTGAGTAAGGTCATGTGGAGACCCGATAAACGGAAGCTGCCTAGTATTATCTTGGTCTGCTG